GGGGTAGATGTGTCAGAAACAATATGATTAACACAGGATAGAGTAGTGTTCAGGGCTGTTGTACATAGGGTCTCTATGAGTCGCAGACAACTTGACGTCACGTAACAACAACAACAGCAAATATTTAACAATGTCTTTTTCTTGCTAGAAAAAATACAGCAGGATGAGGGAAAAACAGAGTAATAAATAAAAATGATAGCTCAATATTCCAGGCACTATATAAAGTTAACTCATTTAAGCCTCACAATTACCTCACTGAGTTTATTGTTATCGACATTTTACAGATGGAAAGCATAAGGCAGGCAGAAATCAAGTAACTTGCTAAAAAAAATCATCCAGCTAGTCAGGGAGGAACTGGAAAATGAACTCAGGAAGTCTGGCTCCAGAGCTTGAATGTCCTCGCCTACCACCCTGTTCTCTCCCACTCAGCGCGACTCCTTGCTCTTTGCTGTCATTCTGGCTCGCTCTTCTTGTTCAGCCAGATGATCTCTTAGGGCTCCAAAAAGTACTTCACTGGGAAACTTTTTGTTCCTGTGACTTTCCTCTTTTGTCATCTTTGACTCTTAGCTAAATAAATCTAGAAACCTCCAAAGGTATTTGCAAAAGAAGTAATAGCCCGAATGAAAGTCTTCCTCCCAGAGACAATAACTTTTGTTCCACAACCTTCTTACTAGCCAGCCGAGTCTCCCTGCCCTTCTTCCTCCAAGTCCTATAACTACTGGTAAGTCACATCTAGGGTGAAAGGAAAACAACAATCATCAGAACTGAAAGAAAACAAAAGTGTTTTTATGAAGATTTCTATTAGGTGCTCTTTTCCTGAGAAAACATGTTAATAGCTAGGACGAGCTGAGAGAAGTGAGAAAGTAAAGGTTTAGTGAATTTTCTTTTAAAGAAAATAGTTTTGTTTTCTTGTAAATCTTTTACTTATATAAATTTGAGATTAGTGCTTAGAGGCTGAGCAGTGTTGATGGTTCATCTTTGTGCTCATCCTAGACGAGCTCAGTAAAAGTGGAATGATATTTAAAATATACTGGCTTGTTGGTAAATGCTGTTGAGCCAATTTTCAATTCAGAGTGACACTGTGACAGAGCACAGCTATCCTGCAGTGTTTTTTGGCTACAAGCTTTTTGCAAGTAGATTTCCAAGTGTTTCTTCCATAGAGCCTCTGAGTGGCTTCAAATTGCCAACCTTTGGGTTAGCAGCAAGAAGATGCTATATTATTAGTTTACCCGAGGCCCTTATTTGTTTGAATCTGGCCCTGCTCTCTTCCCTGCCCACTCTTAAAATTTTGTTTCTCTGTTCCTACAGTCGATCATGCTCAGAGTAAGTGCATGGGTTTAGAGTTGGGAGATGATGGATTCATAAACTGAGGTTTTTATTTCTTTGTGCATCCTTCTCCCTGGGACTTTTGGATGTCACCATTATTAGTAGATACATCAAGTGTTTGTTACCTTTACTCATCATTCTCTTTTTAATGCTCTTTAAATACTTTTTTTGATGGTCCCTTCCAGATTCTTAATCATATTTTCCCCAGACTTAACAACTGATAGATAGTCTAGAGCTTTAGAATGAACAAATATTACCTATAGAGGGAAGAGTTAGGATAGTTTCCATATTTAATCCTCAGCAAATGGGAAATATGAACACTTCCTGAGGCTTAGAGAAATGGGGCAGGAAGGAGGGCTATATTAGTGAGGCCAGATTAATGTATTGATTCTTTCCTCAAAACAGTTTCCTTTGGGGGCTCCTATGGATAAGGAGATAGAGGCATGAGTTGTATTGAACTGTGTTTAAGAGTGGCATGAGAAATTTATGAGAAGCAAAATAACCCTTCTCAATCTTTACCTTACTCATCACTGCCTTTGCAGAAGTTTTGAATTTGGGTCAGAATGGAGAAATAAGTCTTCCCAAGATACTTTTAGGGAGCTCTGGTGGCTTAGTGGTAAGAGGCTATGCTGCAATCCCCAAAGCACACAGTTTTAATCCAGCAGCCACTCCATGGAAGAAGTATGGGCAGTCTCCTCCTGTCTGATTTACTGCCTCTGAAAATCCACCAGAGGGTCACCTATGAGTCAGTTCTGACTCCATGGCACACAACAACTATAACAGCAACATCCTAGATTTCCACTTCGTAATCTGTGTTCTTGTACAAGGAGTCACAACTTCAAGGATGTTAGGTAAATCTTGTGTGAAACATTTAATTTAATGGGTAGAAAAATTTAATATGGTGACTATAATAAAGTTAAAATATACTTTAGTTAATAGATCCTTGGAAAGGAGATGTTATTGGAAACATGCGCCTTTATAAAGGGACATGTTCAGTCTATTTTCTAAGCTACATTTACTGAGACGTACTTTTCCTTCATATTTTAACATCTGTGGTATTGAGTCATCTTACAGTGATTGGAATTTTAGATTTGATGAAGAAAAAGAATAAAAAATGCCAAACTCAGCAATAGAAAAATAGATAAGTGAGCTAAATATGTTAATTTAATTTCTTGTGTTTTAAAATTTCTTTTAAAATATATTTTAATTTCATTTGAGTGAGTTTACAAATCATACTAACTTTTAAGTTATTTTGCCCATCTTTCTCCTGTGGAACAGCTAGTAGATTCAAACTGTGTACCTTTGGGTTGGCCGCGCAACTCCTTCCCATTAAGCCACTGTTGTTGTTGTTATGTACCAGCAAGTCGACTCTGACTCATAGTGACTCTGTGTACAACAGCTCTGAACTCTGCCCTATTTTGAGCCAATTTTATTTTCTTTGACACATCTACCCCCATTACCCCAGTCACTGAATCAATCCATCTCATAGAAGATCTTCCTCTCCGGTGCTGTCTCTCCATGCTTCCAAGCATAATGTCCCTCTTCAAGGACTAGTCTCTCCTTGCAACATGCAAGAGTATGTCAGATGGAGCTTTCAAATCCTTGCCTCCAAGGAGCAGCCTGGCTTTACCCTCTCCAAGAAGAACCTGATTGTTCCTTTTCAATTTATATGTGGAACAGATCATTCAGCTCTATGAAGAGAAATGTGTAATCCGGATTGGAGGAAGAATCATCAACAACCTGTGCTATGCAGATGACATAACCCTGCTTGCTTGCTGAAACTGAGGAGAACCTAAGGCATTTGCTGCAGAAGGTGAAGGACTGAAGCCTTTAATATTGGTTGAAGCTCAACATCAAGGTAACAGATTCTCACCACCGGGCCAATTGGCATCATGACAGATGGTAAAGAGATTGAGATTGTTAACAGCTTTAGGTTGCTCAGATCCACAATCAACACTCTTCCTATCGGCAGTCAGGAAATCAAAAGAGGAATTGCACTGGGAACATCTGTTGTCAGGGACTTCTCTAGAGTGTTGAAGAGCAATGATGTCAGTCTAGACACTAAAGTGCACCTGATCCGGGCCAGGGTCTTTGCAATTACTTGCTATGCATCAGAGAGCTGGACAATGACTAAGGATGATAGAAGAATATTGGATGCGTTTGAGTTGTGGTGCTGGAGAAGTCTTGATGAAGCCACTAGAGCTCCACTTTCCCTAGAAGTTGCACCATTTTGGTTCCCACCAGCAGTGTGAGAGTTCCAATCTCTCCATACCCTCACCAGCATTTGCTATTTGTTGTCTCATTGAACTTTGCTGCTGTTCCTGGATTGAGATGATCTCTCTCTAATAGCTAATGACTATGAGCATTTCTTGAAGTGCTTTTTGACCATCTGAATGTTTTCTTTCCTTATGAGGTATTTTTCCCTTGCCCTCTCCCCATTTATTTTTGTCTTTCTCTTGTTGAGATGTTAATGTTTCTTTAATAAAGTTTAGAGATTAGTCTCCTTGTCAGATAGGTCATTGCCAAATATTTTTTTAGGCTCGTAGGTTATCTTTCTACCCTTTTGTAAAAGTCTTTTGATGCACATAAGTGTTTACTTTTATCGTATGCTGATTGTGCATTTCCAGCTATACTTAATATATTGTCTTATTGATGCCTTTGATAAGGGAGCATCTATATTCTTTGATAGTCTATAGTTTTAAGCTTTATGTTCATGTCCTTGATCTATCTTGAGTTAGAGGGTATGGTGTGAGATGTATGTTTTCTACAAATAGATACCCAGTTTTGCCCATACCATTTGTTAAAGAGGCTATCATTTTCCCACTTAATGGAATCCATTTCTTTGTCAAAGACCAATTGTCTGTATGTGGTTGGCTATATTTCTTTATTTTAATCCTATTCCATTGTCATGTGCTTATTGCACTACCAGTACCACACTATCTGATTCCTGTGGCTGTGCAGTAGGTTTTGAAAGCAGGGAATGTAAGGGATCCTACTTTGTTTTCTCCTTCAATCTCACGTTGTGTATCTGGGCTCTCTTCCATGTACAGTTGGTGATTGTTTTTCCTATTTCTTTGAAAAAGGATGATGGGGTTTGAATCAGGACTGCATTATATCTGTAGTATTTTGATAGTATTATCATTTTCACAATGTTAAGTCTTCCTATTCACAAGCGTGACATATATTCCTGTTTAGATAGATTTTATTGTTGTTGTTTCTTGTAGTAGAAGACATGTTAAGTCTTAAGGAGGTATTTTAAAGTAAAAAATTTGGATAAGCAGAAGTGAAAGGGGTGTGAATTTAAAGTAAACAAAGAAAGAATGAACAGGACAAACATGACCAAGATAGAAGATCAATGTTGCTGTGAATAAGTAGTGGGATATATCCAGAAAGGGTGGGCTCAAACTGTGCAAGTAAGGGAGCTAGAGGCAGAGCGAAGCATTTAGGCATTCTTGAGTCAGAAGTTCTACAAGCAAGTGAGGGCTGAGGGCCAGAAGCAATGCTTCCATCATAGTGAACCTTCTTTGGGGAATTTTTTTCTAGAGAGATCTAAAACTCGGGAATCCATAGTATCACTGGCCATCTCTACACATCTTCAAAGATGTTTTCTGTTCTCATCCCTTTTAGAGGACTCATCAGGCCCTCAGTAATTATAGAGAGCTCTAAAGTGCATCATGACTCACACAAACCTCACCATCTTCCACCCAGAAGTTTTTGTCCTACTTGGCATCCCAGGGTTGGAAGCTTATCACATCTGGCTGTCCGTCCCTCTCTGCCTTATGTACGTCACTGCTGTCCTGGGAAACAGCCTTCTGACAGTGGTCATCATCATGGAACGCAGCCTCCATGAGCCCATGTACTTCTTCCTCTCCATGCTGGCGATGACAGACATCCTGCTGTCCACCACCACTGTGCCCAAGGCCTTAGCCATCTTCTGGCTCCGTGCTCATGACATTGCCTTTGATGCCTGTGTCACTCAAGTCTTCTTTGTCCATGTGATGTTTGTAGGAGAGTCAGCCATCCTCTTGGCCATGGCATTTGACCGCTTTGTGGCTATCTGTGCCCCCCTGAGATACACAGCAGTGCTAACATGGCCTATTGTGAGAAGGATTGCTTTGGCCATTGTTACCCGAAGCTTCTGCATCATCTTCCCAGTGATCTTCTTACTGAAGCGGCTGCCCTTCTGCAGGACCAACATCGTCCCTCATTCGTATTGTGAGCATATTGGTGTGGCTCGTTTGGCCTGTGCTGACATCACTGTGAACATCTGGTACGGCTTCTCCGTGCCCATTGTCATGGTCATCTTGGATGTCATCCTCATTGCTGTGTCCTACTCACTGATCCTCCGAGCAGTATTTCGTTTGCCGTCCCAGGATGCTCGGCACAAGGCCCTGAGTACTTGTGGTTCCCACCTCTGTGTCATCCTCATGTTTTACGTCCCATCCTTCTTCACCTTATTGACGCATCGCTTTGGACGCAATATTCCTCGCCATGTCCATATCTTGCTGGCCAACCTTTATGTGGTAGTGCCACCCATGCTCAACCCCATTGTCTATGGAGTGAAAACAAAGCAGATTAGGGAAGGTGTAGCCCACTGGTTCTTTGAGATCAAGGCCTGGTGTTGTACCTCCCCACCAGGCTGATCACTCTCCATGAATCCCCACTCCCAGTTTAATCATGGAAGCCATAGGTGACATGCAGAATTTCCTAGGACTGAAAATGCTTCACCTCTCCTTTCTCCTTTTTCAAATTCTCATCCTCCGTTCTCTTCATTCCATTAGTTTTCTCTTCTTCCTCTACTTGTCTTTTTTCTATAGTTTCTTTTCTTTTCTACCTTTTCCTTCTTCTTCTTTCCACAGCCCTGAAATTATTACTAAGTGTACATAACTCTGAGAGGAGCATTGTATGTCCAGAAGACCAGACATGTCCCTGGAGCACACGGAGTGAAATACCACATGAAGTGACAGTATGAGAAAGTGAATGAAAATAACAATGCTTTTACTATCAACAGGAAATAAAGTTATAATACTAAAGTGTTCATAGATTTTTTTTTCTTACAGCATTGAGTAACTTTCCACTAATTTGTACAATAGTAGATGTTCTATTTTAAAAATAGTATGTGTTCTTTAAGACAAATGATACAGGACCTTGTTGCTGTATGCTATCAAGTCAGAACCAACCCATAGCTGACCCATCAGGGGGTTCTCAGAGGCAGTAATCACATGGGAGGAATTTGCTCATCTTTCTCCTGTGGAGCAATTGGTGGACCCAAACTGCTGACCTTTGGGTTGGCATCACAGTTCCTTACCAATAAGCCACCAGAGTTCGTTGCAGGCCCTTAGGTCATCTCAAAATCTTTTTCTTAATCTTAAAATTTCAGTTCACGAGTCTCTTTCCTGAGATGTCATACCTGATCTTTCCAGGCAGGTCAATTTTCCTATTTTTATATGTCTACTGCATCTTCCATAAACCTTGAAATATTCAATGTGAATTGTAATTATTGTTCATTTTTCTATGCTTATATGTTCTATGCTACTTGAAGTGAGAAAAATGTGTGTCATTCTTATTTGTACCCTCAGTGTATTAAAGAATGCCTGGGATGTAATAAATGGCTAAAAATTGATAGAAGAGTAAGTAAGAGCCTAATTGCCTTCCTGAAGTCAGAGTATGACTCGGAAATAACCAGTTAGTGCAGTCCACAGACCCAGTGACTAGTAAACCAGCCTCTCACAAACCATATCAGCTACTCATCCACATTGTTTCATATTTTTTAACACTTTACTTGCAAAAAGGAAACTGAAAAAGTAGGAGGGAAAAGAGCATTTTTGTTTCTCCTAACTGCAGTCTCCAATATGGATTGAGGCTCAATGTCAAGAAGACAAAGATTCTCACCATTGAACCAATTGGCAACATCAGGATGGATGGTGAAGAGATTGAGATTGTTCACAGCTTTTGTTTGCTTGGCTCCACAGTCAACACTCTTGGCACCAGTAGCCAGGAAATTAAAAGGCGCATTGCCCATAGGAAAGTCTGCTGTTAGGG